ACAGGAAATATTGGAGTTTTCCAGAGCCCAATTATTTCGTCGAGCATGCGCAGTAAGAAATAAGGGCTCTGGATACGAGATTTCTTCGGATTATTTTTATCAACTATAACAGAATCAAGGAAAGATCGATGCAGGTTGCATGAAAATAAATGATAAAAAAATAGACTCGTAAACTAGAAAAGAATACTATAAATAAAGTATATTATACTAGTATACAACGTACCTTCATTAAGTAGAAGTGAGTCACAAATATTGCGGAGAAGAATTATAAACCGACCAATGTCGGATGTGTCAAGAAAACCTTTCTTAAGTGCCACTATTGCGCTGTCTTTGATGAGATGATCTGATGGGTATGGAGTGTCGTARATTAGTTTATTAACCTTGGCGCCTACAATTATTGGATCCATAGAACACATCACATAGGTCACCTCATGATACAAATAACAATAATTAGTGCACTGAACCCTTTTGGTCACTAATTAGGGGAGTGAGTATTGCGTGACAACACTAATAGAGATTGCGGACTTATTTATATAGTAGAGAGTTTTAGATTGACTTTTTTTCTTCCCGCAAAAAGGCAAACGTGGCCACATTTTCATTGTTTTCCTTTATTCTACTTTACCTCTTGCAAACTTTCATATCACACACAAATATTCTTTTGTTTTTCTGCTACATCTATTTTCACTGATCAACTGACGTTACACTCACGTTTGCAGTGAACGTCAATCTAAAACTCTCTAGTGTCGTTCTACTCTATAAACGCGAACACTCGAGTTTATTTTACTTTTTATTGGTGTAAAAATACTTATATTTTTTCTTTCTTTCCTCATTTCATCTCCTTGAATAGCTTTTATAGACTTTCAATACATGTAAATCAAATTCTATAGTTTTCGATGGCGTATAAATCAGATTGGTTGACAAACTCGAGTGTTTACGGTCAGAGTAGGAAAACAGTAATATACTATTGATTTTCATTGTAGTCTCGTCGCCTATGCAGCTGGTTAATATATACTTATTAATGATACTTAATAATTCAATGATAATTATATTTGCAGACGTGCGTGGGATTTCAAGAACTTGGTATTGTTAAAGTTGTAAAGTTGAAAACACAATTCTGATACAGAATCATATTCATTTGCATAAACTTTAACTTGGATTTGCTTGAGCAGATTCACTTTAATCTTGGAAATTTTAGTGAAACACGAAGGAACTAACCTAAGAAATATACAATGCAAAAGGTAGGTTTTAAAAGGTATACAAACAGTATATTATTACCTCATGACCTCGAGATTCTAAAACATTGCCGATTTTCTCGATCATAAAGTAGTGACTCACACCATTAGGGAAAAGGACGACAGCAATCTTGGCTGCATAACACTGCACGATCGTTAGTAAGAGGAAGGTACAAAAACAAGGAAAGTTTGCCGAAGGACCCATGATTCAGGTTGGGGCTCTCGTGATGTCTGGCGTATGCCTTGTCGTGTCACGGCCGTGTTTGTTTTGATTCAACCTCGTCCCAGGTTCCTCTCGGCCGATACCAAATCATGGCGGTCGTTTAGACTCTTCCACAGTCTCTCGCTCGTCCGTTCCGTCCTTTCGGTCATTGTACCGTTACAGTCTCTAAGCGTGGAGACGGAACGGACGAGCGAGAGACTGTAGAAGAGTCTAGGCGGTCGTTTGGATTGGAGTCGGCCAAGGACCCTGGGGGAAGAGGTTACTTTTGATTGGACTTTCGCTTTGACAGCCATGCAAATTAACCACTATCTCACAATATTTTGTTTTCTACTATCTTTTTGTGACTAGTACACTCTAATTAGTACACTTTGTTTAACGGGTTAATGAAAACCACTCTAGAAGAGCGTGGTTGGACGATTTTTTAGCACTACGAAATACCCTAAAAGATATCGAGAAATGCCTAAAAGATACCAAATGGCTGATTATTACCCCGTGGTTGGTCCTTGTAGTGTAGTGGTTAAGACATCGGACTAGAATACCGAAGACGTGGGTTCGAATCCTGCCAAGGTCATTTGATATTTTTCTCTTAGAGTCGTTTTCATATGACCGTGAAAGAATAGGCAAACTAATAGTCAGTACTTGTTGGTAATTGGTGGTAATAAACCCATTAGACTTAACTATACACTAGGTATATGACAA